CCTGGAACCAAGAAGGCCGATGTCAGTGGCAAGGCTGGAAAGGGTGACGCCAAGGCTATCATGTCCAAAGAGAAGCTCTGTTGCAGCCGAAACCCCGTCCCAGTGCGAGGCAATGACAGATACTCCTGATTTACCATGTGTTCCAGGAAGGCCATGTACAATAAGAAGGCCATGTATGAGAGGAAATGCTGGGCCACTGAATCCAGAATTGAAAAGAAAGAGGAGAAGGTTCTTGCCACTGTCACAAAACCTGTTGATGGTGAAAAGAATGGTGGTACCCAGGTAACTAAACTTCACAAAATGCCTGAAGATGTGCCTTGAAAACTGTCAAGCCACAGCATGTGAGAAAGCTGAGGGCTAGCATCACTCCTGGGATCATTATGATCAGCCTCCCTGGACACCACAGAGGCAAGAGAGGGGTTTTCCTGAAGCGGCTAACAGTGGCTTGCAACTTATGACACCCTGGACTTCTGGGCCTCAATCAAGTTCCTCGGCATAGAACATACTAGAAATATGTCATCGCCACCTCCACTAAAATTGATATCAGCAAAGTAAAAATCCCAAAACATCTCACTGATGCTCACTTCAAGAAAAAGCAGCTGCAGAAGCCCAGACACCAGGAACGTGAGATCTTCCACAGAGAAGAAATACGAGATTACAGAGCAGCACAAGGTCAATCACAAAGCTACAGTCACCAAAAATCAAAGCTGGCTGTTCCTCAGCTCCACGACTACCTGCGATACTATTTGCCCTTACAAATGGAGTTTATCCTCACAAATCAGTGTCCTAAATTTCTTGCCAAGAACCTAATTTAACTAACCAAAAAACAAAAAAAAAACAAAACAAAACAAAAAAAGACCTCTATAGGGAGAACTGGATAAATGGCGAGGTGGTTCATACACTAAATAGGACAACCTAATCTTATAAAGCTGTCAGTAGGCCTCAAATTGATCTATAAACCTGATATATTCAGAATAAAAATTTTCTTTGACTCTTTTAAGGAAAAAGACACAAGCTATTATAAAAGAATTCCCAAATGCTAGTGAGCACATAAAGAAATGGCTGTATTTTACATATATTAGAAGAATAACAAGATTTGGCCAACTACATTAAAACAACACTAAAATAGAATATATTTTTTAATGTGATATTGGAATAAGAACAGACAGACCACTTGATAATTCATTTATTAATTTCAGACTCTGTCTCTGAAATTTCTCTTAATTTGTCAGTGGTCTGTATGTGTGTGTACACACACACACATATATGTATCATAAATAAAATATATATAATAAAGGTAGCACCAGTGGAAAAGACAAGGATGATTTAAGAAGCATTGTGCAGAAAACTGGCTCACTAGACAGAGAAAAATAAAAACTAGATCAACGTTGACACTACATAAAAGATGGATCCCAGATAGATTAAAAAACAAACACCATAGTAAAACTTCAAAAACAGACAAAAACCAGACGTAGCTTTGTAATCCAGTGGTATAGAAATTGTATGTAGCAAGATTAGGTCCCAGGGACCTAATCTTAGCTTTTGAGCTTATTTTTGTGCTATTATAAATACTTGTGAAGACTGGTAATATTCCGTGACCTTTATTCTTTCAGAGATCACTAAAAAAAAATGTAATAGAACAAACCAATTCTACCTTGCAATTATAAGATATCAACTGGATCCATTCACGACTCTAAAATACACTGAGATAATACTGATCTTATTTTTCCTACATTTTGAAATATTTTGTCATTACATCATACCAGAAATTACTTCATTACTCATCACTGGTCATTGATAATTCCCAAACATGGCTAAAAAAAATTCAAAGAAAAAAATTAAAATAAGAAGAACAGTATATGATAGACAACATAATGGATTCCAAGAATGCCAATGCCCTCATCTCTAGAAGCGGTACATATGTCACCTTAAGTGGTAAAAGAGACTCTGTAGAAGTGATTAAGGGTAAGAACTTTAAATTGAGGAAACTGTGCCTGGTAATCTGGGTGGCCCTAATCCAGTCACATGAGTGCTTAAGAGTAAAGAACTAACCTTTCCAGACTGTTGTCAGAGGGAGATATGATGCTGCTAGCTTTGGAAATGGAGGAATGGGCTCATCAGCCATGAAATGTAGCAGCCTCTAGAAACTAGAAAAGGCAAAGAAAAAGATTCTCCCCCTAGAAGTTCTACAGACATCTTGATTTTAGACCAATAGGGCAAGTATCAATCTCTTGCCTTCAGAAGTATAAAATAATAAAGCTGTGTTGTTTTAAATGCCTCAGTGCAAGTATTTAGCCCACTAAATACCTAAGTGACATGGTGGCAGGGGCACTGGATCCCACATGGCTGACTCGAGTTCAAGTCCCAGACAGGTGGCTTGGAAAACACTCCAGCACGTATGCACGTGGGCCCTGATCCTGAGAGGAAAATGGAGATGGGACTGTGGTGTGGCCATCCCCCTCAGGAGGGTGATTTCTCACTGTCCCTCTCTACCTGTCTCTAGAGTACACATACCTATGACAGAAATCTAAATAAATAAATAAACACCTAACTGCAGCATTTGTTATGGTACCAAGAGAAAAGCAAGAGAGACGTAATGACCTAAAAGGAAGGCACACTCATGAAACAAACCATCATCTTTAAGTTTTCCTCTTGCCTTGCATTATCTTTCACGTTGTATCATCTTTCAAGCACGACACAATTTTTCAAAAATATGTAAAAAACCAAGAGATGTCACTTTTGTGGTCTGACTTTGGCTTTTATGGACTTAACCTACGAATTCAGAAATTTTCATTTTGTACACACAATAGCCAAAAGAAAATGACAGAGAAAAAACATTTTATGATTATTAGACAAATCAGAAAATTACAAAAAACAGACAGGAGGGGCCAGCAGGTGGCATGGTGGTTAAGGTGCTGGACACATGGTCAACTGTGGTTTGAGTCCCAGACCTGACAGCTAGCTTTCCCACTTTCTCTCTCTCTGTCTCTATCTGGTGAGCACACACGCCCATAACAAAATTTCTAAAATAACAATAAATAAAAATTACTTAAAAAAAAAAGACAGTAGCATATCTCAACCCTAAACCTGATGACAGTACACTGACTATATATTAGTGAATCTCAGTCAGCAGATGACATAAACATAGATAAATTTCCTCAAATTCAAGAATCAATAAATTGAACAGCGCATTTCTACAGAAAAGGGACATAAGGTATTTGCATCATTTAGTCATTCAATCGAAGGACTTTATCATTCTGTAACAAGAACCTGGACCAATTGGAACAAGCAGGTGGCATGGTGGTTAGGACAGTGGATTCCCACATGGAAGACTAGGATTCATGTCCCAGACCCAGTGACTTGAGAATCATCCCAGGTACACATGCATGTACCCAAAATCCCAAGAGGAAAATGGACTACAGCACTGCCACCCCCTCTGACAGGTGATTTCTCACTTTCCTTCTGTCTCTCTCCTGCGAGCACATGTGCCCTACTAAAAAAAACAAAACCTTGAAAACTAATTAAAACAACAAAAAAAGACCATTTTGCTCAAAGGGCATATCACAATATTCTTTCATCTTTTTTGATGTTAGCAAAGCAGCATTTACTTGACACAAAGAGATGTGTTACATAACATGATGTGGTGGTTAAAGCAGTCAGATCCCACATGGCTGATTATATAGTCTTGGACCTGGTGACTTGGGAAAACACATTAGACGCATGTGTGCCCAAAGTCCTGAGAGGAAAATGGAGGACAAAGGACTGCAGCACGGCCATTCCTCCCTCTCTCTCTCTAACTCTCTCCAGCAAGCACACGAACCCAGTAGCAAATTTTTCTTTAACTCTATAAAGTTGTTTTTCACAGTACTTCTATTCCTAGTCCTACAAATTAAACTGATTTACAAACATAAAAAAGGGCCTATTTAACCCAGATAGTTAATGGTAATGACTGTTTTCAGTATACCAAGAGTTAGTAAAAACTTCAGCGGTACAGAACATAAAGGAAAACAAAACAAAACAAAAACACTGAGTTTGGTAACAACCAATTTAGAGCCCAATGAACAATGGACTTACACAACTCCTGTACAATGATGGACACCACAAACAATGTCAACAGACATATGGCAAAATGAGAAGTTACAGTTCATTAAACTGAGGGATATGGAGAATATACAAGAACATGGAAAAATCAGTTCAACGAAAAATGTAATCCCACAGCAAAACAAAGAATCTGAATAATTCATAGAAGATTCCCAATAAGTTAACAAGCATGCAGAGAAATTCTCAAAATTACTGATAAAAGTAAAACAATGAGATACCAGGTTATATTTATCAGATTGTAAAAAATAGAGGATGTAGATTATACCAAGTGTTTCTAGAGGTGGAAAAACAGAAATACTGATGTATTCCACTAAATGTGCAGTTTAGCAGAACTATTGTGTAAGTAATCTTGCCCTATGTATTCTACTTTAGTCTAACCCTTTCAGCTAACAATTCCACTTGGGGGAATATATCTTTTTTTAAATTAATTAATTAATTAATTTATGGGGAATATATCTTAAATGCTCACAACGGTCCATTTGAGTATTTTTTGAGGGAGTGGGGAGTTGAAGACAACCTGTGTCTATCACTGGAAAGTCTAAAAGACAGTAAGTTGTATGTAGTAGTTAAAAATGCAGGGTTAGATGTTCAGACAAGACCATGGATGATAAGGACATGAAGGGTGAAAAATTAACATAATGGGAGAAAGGCAGTACAATCTCTCAAACCCATCTGTAGCCCTGAAATATACCATGCTATGTACTATTAGCATAATCCCCCTGACATATGTTATACTATATTAGAAATCAAGTTTATAAATACTGACTTTAGTTTTTACACATTTAAACTTTTATAGTAAGTAATAATTTGTTCTCAAGCACATGCATAGAGATCATTTACAAAATATCTTTTAGACCAGTTAATACAAGGAAAGGCTGTCAGACTAAAATTTTACTCACTTTAGCTCCAACACTGCAACTGCCAGTGCTCCCAGTGCTCCCACTTGCAACTCCAGTAAATCTAGCTTCCAATAACTCTTGTCTTCTTGGATCCAGACTATGAAGCTCATCCATTGCACCTGTTCAGAGAAAATAAAATAAAATAAATATACACACACACATATTTGTGTGTGAGATAGCTGATATGTCAGTAACAATCTATGAATGATTTCTACAATGAAATTAAGAGACTTTTTTGAGACTTTATTTTCATAACATCAATAACTCATTTATCAAAACATTCTTGGGTTAGCCCAGATGTTAAGAGAAGTCTGATTCCACATGGCTGAGTATGATTCCAGTACCAACCCCGGCAGCATGGAAACCTTATCAGTGCACATGCCTATGTATGCCCAAAATCCCAAGAAGAAAACAGAAGAGAAGGGATTGTGGCATCCCCATCTCCCTCTGGTGAACACATGTACCCTATAGCAAATTTAAAAAATAAATAAATAAAATCCAAACCAAGCCAATAGTGTATGTGCTCATGTATGCACATGCACACACATGTGCCCAAAGTCGCAATGGAATAGAGAGATGGAGAAGGGAGCACAGCATGACATTCCTCATTGGGAGGTGCCTTCTCTCTCTGTTGAGTAAATATGCCCTTTGCCAATTTAAAACAAAAAAAAGAATCTTACAGTGGATCTCTTAACAGTTTCTACAGCAACTTAAAAGAAAAGAAAAATATTTCCCATCCAATCAAGTATACAGAAACAAACATATATACACTTAAAGTTTCACAAAAAAGATGAATGTGGTGGTGTACACCAGTAACCTAAATTCCTTGGGAGGCTGAGGTAGGAGGATGGCGAGTTTGAGGCCAATATGTGCATATGTGCTCCTGTCTCTTTTTCTTTTAGGTTTTTGCCATTGGATGCATGCACTTGCCAGGGAGGGGGGGAGGGGAAGAGAGAGAGAGAGAGAAAAAAGGTGAGAAATCATCCCCCAGAGGGAATGGCCACATCATAATCCCTTTTCCTACATTTTCCTCCCAGTATTTGGGGCACACATACTCAGGGTCCAAGAATCAAACTGCGTCCACCATGTGGGAGTCCAGCACCTTAACCACCATGTCCATCCTTTTAAAAATCCTATTTCTTAAAAAAAAAAAATAGCTTCACAAAATGCGTCATCTTATTCCACTAGTCATAAGTGCGATGTCTATTGTATAATGAACAATGACTATTTTCTAGTCTATTCGAGATCATTTTTAATTTTTTAATTAAAAAATTTATTTAACCTGATTTATTATTTTTTAATTTGACCAAGAGACCAAGGGAGAGAAAGGGAAAGAAAGCAAGGTGCCAGGCCCAGGACTCCAACCACATCGGCCATGTGGGAGTCCAGCGCCTTTAACCATCATGCTACCTGCTGGCCCCATGTAGTCCATTTTCTTTTAAAAAATAAATAAAAAGGGGGTGGGGGAGGGGAAATTCATAGGTAATTAACGGACTATGGATCCAAAGTCTGAAAAAACACTACCTTCATAGTGTCATCTCTCTATTCTAAATGTAAATAATACTTTGTCACCAAATAATATTACCATTCAATTATTTGATATATACTGTATTTGAATTACTTTTTTTAAGGTTTTTGTAATAGGGCATATGAAAGACAGACAGAGAGAGAGACACTGGGAAAGAAGATGAGAAATCACCCCCCAAGAGGGATGGCCATGCCACAATCCCTTTTCCATTCTCCTCCCAGGATCTTGAGCACGCACCCAGCAACAGTTTCAAGCCACTATGTCCTGTGGTCAGCCATGTGGGAGTCCAGTGATGTTAACAGCTAAGCCATATGCTGGCTCCTAAGTTTATTATTTTTTTCAATTTCCACATGTAAGGGAAAACATGGCATTTGTCTTCCTTTTTCTATGTTATTTTGTTTAACATAATTGTCCTCCAGGCTCATATTCCCAGACATCTTATCATTTAAAGTTCCCTTTCTTACTTTTATCCTCAACTAGACAGAGAACTGGATAGTGGCTACCTTTCCACATTTATTTGTATCTCTGTACTTGAATAAATCTTTCCCTTCCACTCTTCCATCTCAGAAGAGGTAACTCCCACTAAAAAGCTAAAGCTTCTAATGTTTGCTTTTGATTCCACAAGTATTTCATCTCGCTGCCTTCTTCTCCCTCCCTGCCTTCTCCAGCACTCAGTTATGTCTTTTAAAAATCCACCTGAGTGAGGCCAGCAGGTGGCATGTTGGTTAAGGTGCTAGACTCTCAGATGGCCACAGTTCAAGTCCCAGACCTGGCGACTTGAAAATCACACCAGGCACATATGCATGTATGTCCAAAATCCCAGGAAGAGAATGCAGAAGAAGAGACTGCAGCATGGCCATTCTCCCTGGGAGGTGATTTCTCATTTTCTCTCTCACTGTCTGTCTCTCTCTGGCAAGCACCTGCACCCAACGGCAAAAACCTTAAAAAAAAAAAAAAATCCACCTTTGCTTGAATTTCATGCTATTAATATTATCATTTAATTCTCTCCTAAGCTGGCCATTTCTGCCCTTAGTATTATCGATGCTACCTTTTCTCCTGATCTTGCCATTACATCAGAAACTGTGCACTACTCCTTTACTGGGGAGAGAAACTAAAACATAACAAAAATACACACGTTTTAGTTTTCACAATTCAACCATACCTTTTCTGTTTCCCCTTTGCTCTCTCTTAATTAAGACTATACTACAGAGCTGGTAGGTGGTGTACTGGTTAAGGCGTTGGACTCCCACATGGCTGACTGCGTTTTGAATTACTGTACTGGTGGCTTGCTTTCTCACATTCTCTTTCTCTGTCTCTCTCTGGTCAAGTTAAATAATAATAAAACAATTCTTCTAAAAAAAGAAGAATATACCACAAGGATCAACCCATGGCCTTCTGTTCTCTTTTTGGGCTCCTTGTGGCTTCAAATTTATGATTCTCAAATCAGACACCTATTATATACCAAGTCTGTCAAATCTCAAGCCTAGCACTAGAGCCAACAATCTGCCAAAGTTCTGCTTTATAAAAAACTTAGCAACTCTGGGGTGGTGGTTGAGGTGCTGGACTCCCACATGGCCAACTGTGGTTCAGGTCCCAGACCTGGTGGCTTGCTTTCTCACTTTCACTTTCTCTCTCTCCTTCTCTCTCTGGTCAAGTTAAAATAATAATAATAATAATAATAAATTAATTCTTTTAAAAAAACTTATCAATTCTTCCCTGATACAGGATTACTTTGAAAACATTAAATCACAGTTCAAAAATAAGTATATGGGAATGATGAGAGCCACTGACGTGGTAGCTGGCTGCTGCTGCAGCTGCCACAGGACAGTAAGCCAGGATCTACTACCATACCTGATGACTAATTATGGGAGACTATACAAAAACAGAGAAAATTGGAGAAGGTACCTATGGAGTTGTGTATAAGGGTAGACCCAAACTATAGGTCAAGTGGTAGCTATGAAGAAAATAAGCTAGAAAGTGAAGAGGAAGGGGTTCCTAGTACTGCAATTCGGGAAATCTATTAAAAGAACTTTGTCATCCAAATATAGTCAGTCTTCAAAATGTGCTTATGCAGGATTCCAGGTTGTATCTCATCTTAGAATTTCTTTCCATGGATCTCAAGAAATACTTGGATTCTATCCCTCCTGGTCAGCTCATGGACTGATTCCTCACTTGTTAAGAGTTATTTGTACCAAATCCTATAAGGGATTGTGTTTTTGTCACTGTAGAAGAGCTCTTCATAGAGACTTAAAACCTCAAAAACTATTCATCGATGACAAATGAACAATGAAACTGGCTGATTTTGGCCTTGCCAGAGCTTTTGAAATACCACTTAGAGTATACACCCATGAGGTAGCAACGCTCTGGTACGGCTCTCCAGAAGTATTGCTGGGGTCAGCCCATTACTTGACTCCACTTGACATTTGGAGTATAGGGACCATATTTGTGAAATTAGCCACTTTTCCATGGGGATTCAGAAACTGATCAACTCTTCAGAATTTTCAGAGCTTTGGGCACCCCCAATAATGAAGTGTGGCCAGAAGTGGAATCTTTACAGGACTGTAAGAATATAGTTCCTAAGTGGAAGCCAGGAAGTCTATCCCATGTAAAAAACTTGGATGAAAATGGTTTGGATCTGCTCTCAAAAATGTTAGTTTATGATCCTACCAAACGAATTTCTGGCAAAATGGCCCTGAATCATGCTTATTTTAATGATTTGGACAATCAGATTAAGAACATGTAGCTTTCTGACAAGAAGTTTCCACGTGTATCATGAACAGAGAGCTGTACTCTTACTGTTAACTCTATTTCTGTCGTGTATATTATTTTTTTCTTTGTTGTAAAACTTATGCTGTACTTCATCCTCTTAACTTCAAAATTATAACTTAAAAATGTAAATATTGTTCTATATGAATTTAAACATAGTTCTGTATGTTTGTAGATCTCACTATAACATGGTTGTTACTATAATAAAACTATAAATTAAAAAAAAAAAGTATATGGGGGCCAGCAGGTGGCATGGTGGTTGAGGTGCTTTCTCACTTTTACTCTCTCTGTCTGTCTCTCTCTGGTCAGTATGCATGCTCAGTAGCAAACTTTAAAATAATAAAGTTAAATAAGTAATTCTTTAAAAAAAATAAATAAATAAGCATGTGTGGGACCAAATAGTGGTGCAGAAATAAAACACTGAAAGGCTGACCAACATGGGAGCATTTCATTTGCATCCAGAGACTTTCCTGTGTATACCAGATTCAGCCATGATCCAGGGCTGGCTACAGCTGAGGTAGGTAATGGCATTCTGCTAGAAGTATTTGTCTCTCTTGCTCACACACATATGTGCTATCAGAAGACATGAACTTAAAATTTTAGTCAATAAAAATAAGTATACATCACTGCCATCTAATTAGTCATAAAGTATGGATCAAAGAGACAAAAGAGAAAACCCAGAAAATAAACACTCAATGTGAAATGATTTTCAACAAGAATTCCAAAAACAACCCATGGAGAAGGGACAGTCTTTTCAACAAACAGTGCTGGAAAAACTGGATATATACATACAAAAAATGTAACTGAAACTTTACACTAAATACA